ATATTTACAGGAAAATTAGAGTTAATTTCCCACTTATCTTGACAGTGTTTTGCAGTAATTGCCACAACACCTATTGGTCACAATACAGATTACTTGATTTTATCTGGTTCTGTTTCAGACATGATTGTAGTATGGAGTTTTCAGATTTTCCCGAAGATATTGCAATTCATTTCATAATATCTTTTTCGTTTTATCTGGCCTACTCTTTTGTCACATTGTTTTATATTTGTCACATGAGTAAAGTGAGCTCTTAGAAAAGTATGTATTAATTAAATAAAAGGTTCATATTACTTTAAAGAAATATTACCTTTTAATAAATTCTGTTTTTATATTCTTTGTCTACAGTTTTACACATTTTGGATAAGCAATTTGATAAATTGAATTATATGTTAACACATTTACAAATAGAACATGACTAAGTTAACATATATTCATAATTCTGGAGCTTAGTAATATGATGACTAGAGCCCAGAACTTAAGGCAGTCATTTTACCTAAAATGGCCAGGGGAAAAGGCATTTATTCTGTCTAAAGAAAGGGTGCAAAAAGGCATGTGAACAATGAAAAATCACATTTAAAAGGAATTTTGTAAAAAATTAATAATTGAATTGATTCACATTTTTATTCACTCTAAAATTTATATTAGCACTGTCTATTAGTAAGGAAGTGGTATTTTCTTTGTAATCTTTTTCTCATGACTACTAGTTCAGTATGATGACTACCAATTTGTTTTACTCGCAATGCAGTCTCTTTGAAATAGTGTTGTGGACTCCCCCCTCAAAGACAAAACATGACTCTCTCTTTGTGTTATCCAGGCTTGCTAGTATGTTTCCAGCTTGATTGAGATCGTTGCCAGGAGAAAAAATACAAAATTATGTCAAAAGTGACAGGAAAATGCGAAATACCAAAAGGCAAAATGAAAATTTACTAAAACAATTCTAGATGTTCCATTAAGTGATTCATATTGTTAAAGTCTTAAATCAAAACCACAAGATTAAGGCTTATTGACAAACTTCCAGACTTTGGTAATGAGAGTTTTAAAAAGGGTAGGACTTAGCGTAATATATTTCAAGATTTTTCTGGAGGAGCCAAATATTGCAGAATGACAGTAATATTTTTATAAAGTATGGGTTTCTTGCAAAATATCACAGTGGATCAATGAAATTTCTATGGTGAATCCATGTAATGCTGATTTTTAATGTATAACGAATATGAATAATGTAAATGAATGAAATTACACAGCTATTAAGTGTCACTCTGTTGTATATCTGTACAAGTTTTATCTTTGTTTCAGGGAAATTTACTTGCTGATATACATTTTCAATGTCCAGCATGTGGTTTTTCATCAGAAAATTCACAAGCAGTTGCAATAGCAGTGAATACAAATCAGAGTACATTACTACCTTAATAGTTATGTGTAATGTAGTTGTACATGTAGTATAATGTAATGTACTGTATGTGTAATAAGTGCTTGCTTGCTGGCTCATTAAAATTTGTGCCTGAACATGTAAATAATTTAATGATCATCTGAAAATCATTTTAAAGAAAAAGGAATGTGGTGATGGAAAAAGGGAGTACAAATCTTGAGTGAAAGTAGTATTATTAATTTTATGGATTTTATTACACAAATTATAATACAAGATTTATGTTTTCCTGACATTTTACATGCATGTAATACAGGGGAGTAAGTAAAATTGTATAGAGGCATGTTCTTTGTTGCCCAATTATTCTTCAGTTCAATGATTATTTCCTGCAACCTATTTACAAAGAATAAATCTAGAGTAATTTTAAGAGCACTATTCCATGTAATGAGTGAAATTGTCATTATGGATATGGATAATTAAATTAGAATCATTTAAAATGATTATTAAATTAGGGCCACTATTACCCTTAGGTGATTTATTTACATGAAAAGAGACTAGTGAAAGAGTGAGAACGAGACTACTTTGCATTTGGAGATATTTTTAATAAACACCCAGTGAAAGTGAAACATTTATATATTTCTATGAGAAATACTTTTAGGTTGTGAAGGTGATTTTTTTGTTGTGCCTACTTCTGTATTGTATTCTTATTGTAATATGTAAAAATTGGCATGAACCAGTGATATAATGTGATAAGAAATTCTCTAATTATAAAATGAAAGAGGAAAACAAAAAACAAACAAATCACATGCAGAACCAGATGAAGGCCTCTTAAAAGTAATAATGTAAAATTAAAACAATGCTTTTTTATATGTGTGTACAATGTGAATCTTATTCTCTACAAAAACAATCTTATGTGTAGAAAGAAAAAATAAATGGAAAAAGATGTATTGGCAAAAAAGAAATTCTATGAATGTTTTAATGAGAGATCACTAAGGAACAGAAGCATTGCATGCCATCTCTTTGTTTGTGATGGGCACTATTGTTCCTAAAAGTAAAAAATAACTGACTGGTTTACATCTAACCAATCTATGTTTGCATTGCACCTTTTAGAAAATAAAAATAATGACTGATTTAATGGGCTCCTGCAGCCTGTTTAGTTAGAACAGCTACTGGGGCTGCTGATGCTTTGTGAACTGAAGGGCCATTCTTATTGACTGTGGCATGGAAACCTGTTTCCCAGTCAGCAACATAATTGACTGTGCGCACACTGCCATCAGGCTCCACAAGGCTATATTGGCCTTTAACTACATCTCCATCTCGCTGTTCCCACTGCCGCTTTACATCACCTGTGTGTGGATCGTTGACACCATACTCAAAGGCATAACGAGGATGTGCATCCTAAAAAAATACAGAAGAGTATTTAGAATTGATTGTCAATAAGGAAATCTGAGCTTTGTCTTGCCTTAGCAATACCAATGAGGTTGGGGGGGGGCTCAGAATACCTCTGATGATTTTTTTTTTTTTAGGAAGGTGGAAATCATGGATATTGTGAATGTGATTTTTGTGCAAAATGTAATGCAGTTTATCATAATTGTTAGAATGTGAGTAATCATGGCATCTATGGCTGTGGATAAAAAAAATTCAAGACTATTAACCTGAAAACTAAAAATTCAGAATATGTACTTGTTTTAGCCTAATAACGTTTAATACATTGCTTTGTTATGAAGGTGTATTTGGCTGTTTTCGGCATCAAAATATGAGGTTTTATATTAAAAACATTGATGAAAAAACTCCATCTGTTTTCGTTTGCAGAATATTGCATTCATTGCAATTACAACATATGCAATTTCGTTTGCATGTGAATATTATTAAATAAATAAATTGATTAATTTAGCAAAACCATAAAAATTCAATAAAATCAAAATTTAAGATATGGGTGTTGGAGCGTGGGTGCCATTGGCAATTCCCAGGATCATCGCCACATGGAAATTCAGGCGATTCCAGCTATAGTGAACCCTTGGTTTTAGTGAACTTAGTTGCAGGTCCATTTCAACTTATATTACAAATAAGCACAAGATTCGGTTATAGTGAACCAGAACCTCTGCTATATTGAACTTGGAAAATACGTCCTGGAAAAAAAATATTCCGCTTCAGTGCCACAAATTCTTAAGCAAACAATTGAAAATAATTGACTTTAAGGACAAAAATATATTGAAATTTTCAGTTTGTGCTCTTAATGTATTTTTCTGCATCTATAGATTGATAAGTTAAATCAATAATTGTTGAGAAAATTTATTTAATTTTGACATCGGATAAAGTGAACCAAAAATGTTAGTCCCCTGAAGTTCACTATAACCAGACTCGACTGTTCCAGGATTAAGTGCCATTGGTTGATATGCACTGAAGTGCTAATGATCTTATACAAATAAAGGATGGAAACATGTATGAGGCTGTATCGTGTGAATTATAGTGGAAATGTAAGTTGCATTGAAATTTGAAGTAGCAACTTCCCCCTTCCTTCCCCGCTACCTCATTTTATGTAAGAAAATATTTTTTATCCTGTGCGTCATATAATAGAGCACTTTACACGCATTAGTGTTGAAACGAAGTTTCTAATGGATCTTATCTCGAGTAATACAGTATGTTTGTGTGATAAATAACGGATTGAGTTAATCATGGATAGAGCCCCACTTAAATGCAGGTACTTTTATTTCCTCCGTGATTCTCAAATTCAATTAAAGTTAATTGAAGTGAGCAATGGTTAATTATTTCTCCAGTGGCATTTTTAATAATTGAATGTCGTTTGGTTTAAAGTGTCCAAAACTGTGCAACAATTTTAAAATGCGCCAATTGTTAAAAATAACTGAAAGGTATGTTAAAATCAAAGAGGTTATGTTGTAGTACATATATACATGGTCATCAGCATCAATACATGGTTTATTGGCCAACGAAATAGCGATCGATATATGCAGTTTCTTAAGAGATGAGTCGCAGTTTACGATTGACCAGTAGCATTGACCCGAGCAATGCACATCTGTGATGTGAATTGCGAGCACAACGCCACCCAAGTGCACTATATAATTATGGAGTCTTATTGATGTGCCGTGAACAAATTGAAATTAAGTATACAAATTAAGATTCTCGGAAAAGGAAAATGTAATTATAGAAGGCCTCAAAACGACACACAGTATCTTTACGAACATTAAAAAATGACAGACATTCTAACACAATTTATGAGCAAGAATCATGGATGCGGTGGTAAGGGTCTAAAAACCTTTGGTAACCTATTCTCAAACGAAAAAAATGTTAAATTTCAATGGTTATGCAGTTTTAAATGATATTAACAAAGCTCTGAAGACAAATATAAGATCTCGTACAAAGGTGAATGAGTATATTTTAAGGGTTTTAAATTAATTTTTCATTTCTCAGATTATTTCCTAAGCCAAAAATCAGGTTACGCCACTGACCAGTAGGATGGAGCGATAAGAAAAAGCGATTTTTTAGATACGCGGCCGTAATTGGGATATTTTGGATGTACAGTTAAGCACTATTGGTTTTAATTTCGTGAGTGGAAAAGTCAATGATAATTTTAAGGGCCTTGGACGAATGTATATAATGTTACATTAAAGGTAGGCTCCCGTAAAAAAACAATGGAATTATAGAAGGGAGTGGAATTCAGGACATCCAAAATATATTTCAAAACCAATTGTTTATTTTTATACAACTGAATAGGATCTCATAACATCGTACGCTGATGAAAGATTCAGCTCCAAATTTGCTCTCCTTGTGGATTTCTTCGGACTACATGCATACGTCACGCTCACTTAGGGTTGCCGTAAGGATAACAATAGAATTCAGGCCATCCGTAAATATTTCAGAGCAAATAATTTCGTTTTTACAACTACATCAAAATAAATTATATTGAACCCTTTCAAGAATGGGTGACAAATTTTTTCTAGGACGAATTTTCTTGACTTTAAAAGGTTGCCCAGGTCATTTCTGTATTTTTTCATGTCACAATTTGTGAAGTTTTTCAAGGTATTTAAAACATTTAAATAAACATGACATTGCTCGATATTAAAACACTTCTTTGCTGAGCCCTTTTCCCCTTTGTGTTCCAGATACTTTTGCACTAACACATTGTGAGATAAACAGATGCACTCTGATTTTTAAAAAACGTACCTTTCTTTATCTATTTTTCAGCTCTCAGTTGTACCGTAAAAGTGAGAAATAACAATATTTGCTTAACAAAGCTGATTGCATTCGCATAGTTCTGTGATGTAGTTCACAAGAAGTCCCCAAACCTAGTTTTTTCCTAGGACGGGTGAATTATAAAAGAGTATAAAAATGCAGGACTTTTTGCAGTAACAAAAAATAAAATAGAAAAAGAATCTGGCAGGATATAAGGACACACGTCAATATTCAGGACATGTCCCGCTTTTTCAGGGCGTATGGCAACCCTAATTCAAGGCTTTCGTTTTTATGTAAACGTATATAGAAAGTTCCCTTTTGTTTCGTCGTTCTCTCCGGCACGTTCAATCATTGTAATACGGGAACGGGTCTTCACCGCAAGCACCCTCAATTCCTGGTTTTCGAGGTTCTCCAGGGTTACGAGTTGACTTAAAATGCCATTAACTTAAAAAAGGAGACCTTTCTGAATCTTCATTTTATTTTTTAGATATTAGCTTTGGGTATCGCGGTTCTGGGGCAGGAGCGATCCAGTTTCTGACTGATAATAGGTGCTTAGAAATATTGAAAATTTACTTGCGCACATTAGGGCCTACAAGATGTTACATGATCAGTGCTGGGCATGGTCGTACGCGCACGCACTATACTGTGTGTTGAGAAGTTCAGAGCTTGGACGTGCAATGGGATATGTTCTCAAGAGGTACAACTTCTATTGCTGTCATACTGTATAACAGTATTTTTACATTCGAATCGTTTTTCAAATAGGTTTCAATGAACAAAGACCTGGAGATGACAATGTAAAGATTAAACGTCATGCAAGTATCTATAAAATTGTGAAAAGTTTGGTCAGTTGGTATGTTAACAATATTTTCCCGGTATCAAGAAATTTTTAAAGTGTCGAGATGACACATTTTGTTATATTTGCATAAAACTCAAAACATTTCTGATGAGAAGCTTTGTCAAGTTGATTCTTCATTTTTCAGGAAAAACATTTTGTTGAAGTTTTTTTTTATATTTCTTGGTATAAGGAAAAAAATTGAAGTGTCAGAAAAAAGTACTTATTGCCTTTTTAATCTCAAGAGAAATAAGTTTGGTTTATTGTAGCGGATTTTGAGAGAATTGTCAGTTAGCTACTTTTGGACCCTGTTCCACATCTGTTTTGTTGAAGGCAAAGAGATGAGTCTGGAGCAAAAAAATATAATTTGCATTTGTACGGGAAAATCGTATTAGTGTCCATCTAAATGGCATCTTTGTATCTTGTTCTCCGACGCATATTTTCCCAGAAATATCTCACTGGCTATAAATCAATGCAGGTCTGCTCGAGCTGATTGGGAAAAGGGTCAGTGTAAACGACTGGCTGGGTTTCATGTTTAGTGCCTTCAATCATGTAATGTACTAAATAATGGAAACTAAGAGGTAGTGAAGGCCTGTTGAGGTAGTGGAGTTGAAGCTGCAGATTTCGCCCACAAATGTTCCAAAAGAACGGGTATATCGCTTTGGAGAAAGCTAATCAGCGTGTGCCCACATTCGGTGATGAACTTACGTAGTGTTCGATGTGCTTAGCAGCCACGGTCTTGACGGCGGCGACGGGCACCTTTGCGACGGCCGGAGCGGCCACGTAGCTGGCGACGGCGGGCGTGGCCGGGGCGTAACGAACGGGCGCCGACCCCACGGCGGGGGCGGCCACGACCGCCGGGGCTGCGTAGGCGGGGGCGGCCGAGTAGGTGGCGTAGGACGCAGGCGTGGCGATGGCGCCGGCGCCGCCGGAGGAGTACGACGACAGCGACGCCGCGTGCGCAGAGGAGTACTTGAGGTCAGCGTTGGACGAGTAGGAAGCAAACGCGGGTGCGGCCACGGCAACGACCGGTGCTGCGGCGTACTTGGCTACCACGGGCGCGGTGTACTTAGCGGTAGCCACCACCGGGGCACCCACCGAGTATTTGCCATAGGCGATGGCGGGACCGACGGCTGCGGAATACTTGGCGTAAGTGACCACAGGGGCGGCGATAGCGGCGGCGGAGTACTTGAGGCCGGAGGAAGGGGAATAGGATGTGGAGGCGATGGCAGGGGCGGTGTAGGCAGTCTGCACGGCGTACTTGGCGGGGGCGACGACGGGCGTGGCGGGCGCCCCCTTGAGGGCGGGCGCCGCGTAGGCGACGGCGGGAGCGTGCGCGCTCACGTACGAGCCTAGCGACGCCGCCGCAGCCACCTTGGACGCGTGCGACGAGTAGCTGGAGTAGCTGGCGGGCGTCGCACCACCCACGTACCCTCCACCCGAGTAACTTCCGGCCAAGTAGCTGCTGCCGCCCGAAGAGTAACCTCCAGACGAGTAGGATGCGCCCAGTGAGTAGGAGCCGCCGGCAGATTGGTAAGAGGCGACGGGCGCCGCGGACACGTACGACACCACAGCGGGCGCTGCCGCGACGGTGGCTTGCTCCGTTCCCAGCGACGCGCCGTACTGTAGCCCGCCGCCCCCGCTGCCGTAGTAGAAGCCGTGCCCGCAGCGTAGGTGCTCATGCTCCGGGTCGTAGTACGCTTCGGTCTGGACGAAAAGTCCGGCAAGCAGGCAGCTTGCCAGCGCCAGGACCTGCAGCAGAAGGGGTCGTTAGTGCTTTATGGCTTCAGCTTCCGAAGTGGTAAAGAAGCGACGGTGTAAAGGACAGGCATATGACAGGACTATCGACTTATATCTGGAAAGAGAAATTTATCTTTGTTCCCTAAATGCAGTAAAAAGTATTAGTCAAACAGACGCGGACGGAGAATTTTCCAATTTAGTTTTGTTTGGTTTCATTAATATATTATATTTAAGCTGTAAAGAGGCCGATTTTGATGTCCCTCGTAATTTGGTCCCAGACAGCGGATTTAAACAAGTGCCCCCCCCCAAAAAAAAGAGAAAAATATAGTAGTGGAGGAAATTATATATCGAATAAATAGCAGCTCTCCTTTATTAATAAAAAGCTACAAAATTTGCGTTGTTTTAAATGCGCAGCTAGAATAGAAACGGAAAGATGGCGTCATGCGCAACTTGCACATGATGCGGGGGAAATGCATTAGCAGTTACCTTTTCTCATGCTGTGTGATCGTTAAATATATTGTTCGTGACTATTAATTCATTTAAAGTACTTTCCTATGGTATCTACGGAAAACATCAAAGAGTTGATGTTCTGATTATTTTTTGAAAGTTGTATTTCATACTGTGAGGTTGATAGTGGGATTTTCTGTTTTAGTCCAAAACAATACATGTAAAGGCCTGTAACACAGTACAGTAACTATAGTCGAGCATATTCTAAAACAGTTTCCGTACAGAAACTTCAAGATCTCAAATTAGAAGTATAAGAGTCATAAGTAGTGCATACGCGGTCTGTTTGAATTCTGTACAAATCGCCATAAGATTATATTGCCGCTAGATCTACCGGAAAACGCCTTAATTGCGCCGTTCGAGTACTTTCAGTGACTGTAGTTCTGTGTGCGCGTATTTGGTGCAATCTTTATAAAGTATTAATTAATCATGGAGAGCATAAATAAGAAAAATAGGAATAGGGAAAGAGGTAGTTTATCATAATATCACTTCACACACATAACCACAAAATCGAAATGTCCGATTTCCGTCGCGTCCATAGAGTAGAGACATACTCTATCTCCTCCTCTATGGTGGCGTCGGGTAAACAAAGCCGGTAGTGAACGATTTTGCCGCTAGATGCGCTTGAGTCAAACAGCTTTCTGCATGAAAAATTATAAAAATGCTCAAACGTTTTCAGACAGAAATTATGCAGTCTGGGCTGCTCGTTTTCTGTATGAAATCTGCAGGAAAACTGTATTGTGTATATTTACTGGCCTTTACCTTTGGTAAATACAACATAATGAAGGTTGTGGATATGCAGCATTTTCTGTTCGTACTTTATTACAGCACTTCTGAGCGATGTAATGACGGGTTCAGCTAGTTGTAAACATACAACGAATCATGGCTTTGTGCCGATTCATTGTTATTATCGTTATGAATTTGAAACCGATATATTAATTTTGGAGGGTCTTTACATGAGCCCGTAGAACATTTTCAAAATTTTCAAAAAACTGGCTCCATAGATTTTTTTTTGTTGGATAGTCGAAAGGAAGTTTAAAAGAATGGTGCAGGTGTCAAGTTGGTTAAAAACTGATTTTTCGAAAATTGAAAAATTGAAAATTTTAATTTTTTCGGCATCTTCTAAAATATTAAAAACAGATTTTGTCCCTTAATTAAAATCTATTCCTTATAGATTTTGAAATAGTCATGGTCAATTTTTCAAAAATTTGAATATTTTCGCATTAATTTGCATGAAATATAGGCAACTTTTAATTTTTGTTCAAACAATTTTTTTCTCCAAACGGCTCCATCATTTTTTATGAAATTTTGTTGGTGGATAGACTGAAGGATGTTTAAGAAAATAGTGGAGGAATCATGTTGGTTAAAAAATCTGGATTTAGAGAATTGAAAAAAAAATCGGATTCTTCTTAAAACTATCATTATGAAGATACAATGTGTTTTCTTAATGAAATGTTTTTATCAAAAACATATTTCTAAATAAGGTGATGTTGGTGAATTTTTGGAAACTATGAGTGTTTTTGGAGTAATTGGGCTTCAAAGTGAGTCGCTCTGAAAATCCTGCGCTTCTTTATCGTAATTTTAGGTATTTTGAGGCAGTTAGATGCTACGTAAGATAGAATGTGTATATTATTTCATATTTCTTTGTTCGTTTCTTACATTGGAGCTTTTGTTATACGTTTACAAATTAACCTATTACAAGTTATTTAAAACTATTTGAAATAAATATGTAATGAAGATTGCTAGCCTTCAGTCGCCCGCTCCCAATTTAAGCAGTTGGATGCAAATAAGTTAAAATTTATGTATTATTTCATATTTCATTTTAATATTATTATTTATATATTATTTCATATTTCATTTTAATATTATTATTTATATTATATTTGTTACTTCATTTTAAATTGTGTCTTCTAATTGTGTTAAATGTGAAAACGAATAGATGAGCGGTCATTATTGGTTGTTGTCATTACACATTGTTGTAATGCCGCACATGGCGATAATGACGGCTATTTTTCATTCGCGGTAATAAAAACGAATCTTTTTATATATTTGTAGAATATTACAATACCACAGTGTTTAATAATTACTACTATATATTCTTCTATCTATGTGTTTGGGAATACACACATAATAGAATTATTTATTAACTTTTAATTATTTTACTTTCTTGCATATTTATTTCTCTCGCCAAATGTTTTTACGATTTTAATGAGGTTTACAAAAAATAATTCGTAGAGAAATTGTGGTATGATTAGTATTACATAACCATTACTAATAGCGAGATAGTATGTGCTGTTTCAGCATCACCTGTTCCTTTAAACTTTTCGTACGGGTATTGCTAATTGCAATGTTTAAGATGACATCAATTTAATTTGCGGTATTCTTTTGTTTTTCAAAAATTACACTAATGTGATTTTTTAAAATATCTCCCACGCCGTTAATAGGCTCATTTTCAGCGGTTTGTGTACATTATTGCACTTGCGAGTAGAAATATTTCAAAATAAGTTTATCGAAAACTCAAACAATTTCTGTGAAAAAGAGCTTCAAATTTCGTATTTACAGTAACGCTTAAATGTCATTTTATTTTCAATGTAATATTTCAGTTATCTATTAATATTTGGAAACCGAAAAACTGAGAAACTTTTTAAAGACTTTGGGCGTCGATAGATGGTAGCTCGTAAGATTTTGTGGCAAGTCAGAATAGCTAGTCCAGACGAAAGAAAACAGAAAACTGCGAGAAATTCTGTGCCATTCTCTAGCACTTCTAGTTTATTTCTGTGCTAATTGGGGGGGGGGGCAAATATGTTCATTTCTTTTGTAAATAATAAACAATTTACATGTTTCTGGAATGTTTATGTTTCTGAAATGCACATTTTTGTATAGAAATATTTTTTTTTCAAACTAACGTTTGAGTGCTTATTGCGGCTCAGCCATTTGAAATATGTAAGGAGGTTATTTTCGAAGTTTTGTTTTTTCCTCCCTGGGTATCCTGTGTATCTGTGGTACCGGTATTACTCTTTACAGATTCCTTTTATTTATGAGATCAAGTCGATTGCCATAACATGGTCCTGAATTCTTTATAATTATTAATCGATCTGTAGTAACATGGATTACTGAAAATATAAAAGATTAACTTGTGGTAATAGTAAATTGCTTTAGGCTTAGGGAAAAATTTGACTGCCTGACGCTCACCAGTGCATGCCACGCTAACTCATTGCAAATGTACCAATGCAAGATGGGAAAATGATAATTTATGGAGACAGACTTTTAATAAATTCAAATCAGTTCCACTAGGAAACGGGCAGTGGAATAATTTGACAGACTTCATTTCATTTTACTTTCTTGCTACTGCTTTCGCAGTATAGAGAAAGTTATGGAATGCTCCGGGAATAATGGCGAAGTGGATAAATCCAGACGCTAAATATAGAAACAATCCTCTAACATGAGGCATGAATCCATGCTTTGTGGGTCCTTGATCCCGAAAACTCGATTGACGGCAAAACGACTGTCCATCTAAGAACATCGCTAGCGGCTAAACCGTTCAGGTGATTTTCTCCAAAATTGATATTCTTTAATGTATCTGGCTTATGTCGCGGCCCCTTGAATTTGAAACCGGGGTAATCTTCATGAAGTCCTTCTCACATTTTCAAAATTACAAAAAACGGCACAAAATTGTTTGATTAAATTTTGCTGTTTGATAGTGTGAAGGACAAGAGTAATTCAGGAATGATTTTCGTTAAAATCCCTGCGTTTTTGAAAATTGCCCTTTCAAAAGTTAAACTATTTTCGAAGTCTTTCTACAATTAAAATATTGAAAATAGAGATTTCTTCCTTAATGGAATTTGTGCCCTTTATATGTCAGATAACCTTTTCCTCGGAATTATTTTAATTCCTTTTATTTGTTTATTTTTGATCTTAGAAATATATAAAATTATTAAAGTGATTTGAATAAATATAAGGCGAGATAAATAAGAAAATGATGAGGTCGTAATAACGACCACAAACCATGTACGGCTAAGCATTACACTACATGGATTGTTGCGTAAAGAACACCAAGTATAATTCCTGAATAAAAACATTATATTTAGTCACAGATAATCGTGTGCAAGTTCTTTACAAAGTAGAAGAAAAACAAATAGGAATAGACATGATATATAAATACAAGAAAATTGAAAATACAAATAAATAAATAATGAAAATAATTATACACTTAATTAATTAACTAAAATAATACAATAATTGATAAAGAAAATCAATATTATGGAAGGAAACATTGGCTGCTAGAGCTCATTGCGTGGTTGGAGTCGCGTCATCTGCAAGTAAATCCCCCTCATACCCAACACCGCATCATCATTCTCGTCAATATTTCCCAAGAAATTGCTAAATTCCTATTAGGTCGTAGATTGCAAACCATGGAAACTCCAAATGTTAGCCTGTCATATTCGGAAAACTAAATTTTTTTAGTGATAATCTTACATTATTAGATAACAAATTTTATTGTTTGAAAACTTTCTTGTAGTAGACAAGTGGTAGACAGGTAGAGTGTAGAAGACAGGTCTTACGCGGGTAGCACCCCAGAAGCATCCAAGTACGAGTACGTATGAATGGTGCATGATTCAACAGGAGAAGGTGGGATTCACTAACCTTGGGAATTAATTCATCCCTAAAGAGTGGATCAGGGGTAGGCTGGACTCCTTAAGCTATGGTGGAAGCAATCAGCCTAAGGGTTGGGAACCCCTGAAATAAAAGCTCCGGTCCTCCAGGTTTAGGGGTTGTGCTGTAGGCCAGCACCCTGCACACGTAAAACATCACACCGCTAAAAATCTCAGTTATAGGAATGCCTCGGATATTTTAAAAGGGAAACATCAGCAAAGAAAATGGACTCTGAATATTGGTATATGGAATGTACAAAGTACATCAAATAAACAACAAGAAGTAATCCAGGAAATGGTGAGAAGAAACATAGATATAGCCGTCTGGTCTGAAACAAAAAGGAAAGGCAAGGGAAGCCAAACACTGAACAACTTTGTGCACTTTTACAGTGGCGTAAACAAACATGAAAATGCCAAAGCCGGAATT